ATCTCATTCTATTAGTAAGTTTCCTGCATAATATAATAGCATTCTATTATAGGTTCATCAGAAATTCTCGTTGCAATCACTGACATTGGTAAAAGAGGGTCAAATTGTTCATTTTTATGGGTAGCTGACTACTTTCTCCTGTTGTGCAGAGTCTATTTGCATTGACATCCTCTCAAATCTGTCTTTTTAATTTCTCTTTTTCTACGTGATCTTAGGTTTCTGTGTGACTGAGTGCTTTTCTGGTGATTTAATTTCAGCCTCAATATACCTACAGTGGTCGGAAATTCTTTACAGGACATGCTTCCTTCCCCTTCCAGGCTTGTGAAACCTTTCCGGTGACTCACAATCCACACACACACAAAGACTCAAACCTGCTGGCTCTTAATTGGTTGGCATAGTGACCCTTAGAGGAGCACTGTTCCAGGCCGGGCAGGCATATGTCACCTTACACCATTTTGTCATACTCATTCCTTTCCCGATACTGTACCAGGTTATACTCCTGGAAGACTCATGATCACAGCAGGGAACATTTGCCTCTTGTTTAAGTGATGTAAAGGAAAACTTCACAATGAGCAGGTAAAAACAGTTCACTGGATGGGGGGTTGTTTGAAATTTCTTCTGGAAACACGTTTTGATTACCATGATTCATAGTCAGAGAGCTATTTTATGGATGGTGTGTTGTACTAGTAAATACTGCTCAAGTCCTTTCCCAGTAAAAGATCAGACTTTTTTTTCAGCAACCAACCATTTAGAACACAACAGCTGAAAGATTAGTCAAAGCATGGGAGGGTAATAACAGTATTACCGATATCTTTATTTCTTTTGTACAAAGCACCCATACTACACAGTCGTGCTATGAAGAAATCCAGTTCTTTGTTAATGACAGCTTTATTGAAGGCAAGCTTTCAGAATGAATATACTAGAAATCCTATTAAAGTGCCATCCATTAAACCATTAAAACACTCGTTAAAACTGTTAGTACAGACTTGTTATTCATGAGTTATTGGTCTTTCACACTTCTGAAATGTGTCTGCCAATACCACTCAACTCTTTGTTCCAGTGTGGCTATTAAGTCTGAGGAAATATAGATTAAATTTCTTTTGACAAAACAGTGCTTTGTGGCAGAATACTAAGGCCACAAAGTGGTTTGGATTGGTGAGAAAACAGGAAAGACTGAAGTTCAGTACATTGGCCTGGTTTTGACATAATTTATGTAACTATGTCTGCATGCGGGCCTAAATATCAATCACTGAAATACACCATCTGGCCATATATCATACAAATAAGTCCATGGGGAATATAGTATGCTGCTGTGATGAACATATCCTTATCTCCTACAAATAGCTGACAGAGAAAGCTGCTCTTTGATTTTTTTTCCTGGTATCGCAAAGCAGCTTTAAATCACTTAAACAGTAAGGAGTTAGAAGGGGAAGAATAATACTGAACAGTTGAAGCTAGGTTTTAAATGTAAAGTATTTTTAATAATCTATAAATGCAATTAACAATGAGTATAATGTAGAGCTGAAGTTCTTTCTCATAATGGGTAAGAATCTACTTAGAACATAATTTTCTAAGTGAAACTGTATATGCAAAAATGCACCTTAAACTTTATGTTTGCAAATAGTTGTAATTACAAATAGATAATTTATGGGATTTTTTAAGTTGTATACATCCCTTTTATTTTTGATAGGCTAAAGCTTGAGTCCTGCAGTTAGTTAACTAGAAGCATGTTAGTCATCCAGTTTATTCTGTTACTTTCTAATTTTCTTGCCAAGTGTGAAGAGAAAGTGTATGTGACATATTGTGAAGTAATTTCCAGAATATTTGGGCACTGTAGGTAAAAATCTAAAAGACCAGGCAGAGTGCCTATATCTGGAACAATACAGAGCAGTGTTGCCTCATTGTGGGGCAGTGGGCTGCTCTTTAGCTAACGTTTGCATATATGCCTCTCAAAAAATTCGGACTAAGTAGTCACAGATAGTGTAGATGTGATTTATTCCTGGTCAAATAACTGAATTTATTTTAAAATGTATTTAGAGTATAATACACTACTATATTAAGAGCAGCTTCTGTTTATTTTGAAATTACTATGTTTATGTTCTAAATTATTACTAGAATTCTAAGCTAAAGCCATACTAATTACTTTATAAAACACTGAAAACTTGGCCTGCAAACATCCTGCACAAGTTATTTTATTCACCTCCGTTCACTACAAAGGGAAAAGAGGGGAGATTCTTGCTGAGAGAAGTCATTATGTAAATGTGATTGCTTTTCAAGTCATATGGTGTAGTTGAATTGCTGGTCAGCTGTTAAAGAGGTATATTACATGTCTTAAATACACTAGTTATGTATATGACTCTCCTCTTCCCAGTGCTGAGGGAAATATGGTCCAAATTCTTTCTGTTTACCTAAATAGCACTTAGCAGTAAAGATAAAAATATTTGTGGTTTTAACTGCAGCAGGGCTTACCTGCTTCAAAACTGTATCAGCCATCCGTCTCAGAAGATGGGAAAACATTGAAACTAATGAAACTAATTTTCCCACGAAAATCCTGAATTTTAAGAAAACGGAATAAAAATTCTACAGAGTAAAATTTTACCACTTGTTTTATTGATAAATAGGAATTTCACTGTGAGTCAGAAAAAGTAATGTTTTGGTCAGAGATGGACCAAACCCTAAGACTGGAAGGATCAGGTTGCTATGTTTATACTTAAGCACAACACAGAAGTAATGTCTACTTTTGCCAGTGGCAGAATACCAATTATTTGGTGAAAGTTTGAGTTTCCTATACGTGAAAACAAAAGAAAATAAGGCTGAAAAAAAGCCATCAGCAGTTTCGTAAAACTCTTAATAACTACTCTATTAAGATATAGCTTAATAATAGAAACATATTAATACTATTAACAAATCAAGATATGTTGAGCATAGTCCCACATATTGCTAAGACTGTGAACCCAAATAGTGCTTTTTTTTAAAAAAAAATCTTTTATGGGTATAAAAATTATGCAGAAATAAAAAGAAATCAGATGAATTCAGAGCTGAAAACCATTTAAGAATACCTTTTGAACTGTTAATAATACATATAGCAATACAACTCAAGCGAATCATACCCAAACCACAAGTACAATTTTCATGGTCTTCATCATGCTCCCAAGCAGTTCATTTCTTCCTCTTTCCTCTAAAAAGTCCAATTTCATTTCGTCTTGAGGGAGGAGCTGCCACACACTGTGCATCAGCTACTGTAGGTAAAGCAGTATTTGAGCCAGAACCTGAACCATCTACGCTCCTCTGCTCAGTGGATCTCAGCTAGGTTATGCAGGGAAGCTCAGCCAGGCCCAGATCCAGAGGACTGTAAGGATAAAGTTAGCAAAATTCAGGAAAATCATCTGGTAACTGTTATAAAAGTTAATTGGGTCTAGGGTATTAGTAGATAGGATAAGGTAGTGGGACTTGACTTCTTAAACAGAAAGGCTGGGGTATTCTAAGATCTCTTTATCAAGGCAGCCAGGCAAAATTATTTTATTTAGAATAATCTCAAGAAAGAAGTGAAGTAATTCTCTGTATGTTACATGAATAATTGTATAAGGTAAGTAAAGATGCATAAGAATGAAGCAGTTTTCTGACTGGCCAAACAGTAATTATTAATCTAAGGGATAAATTCTAATAGATCACACTAATTAATTTTGCAGATATGCATTGTCTGATAATACCTACTCTAATAGATTACTGGTCATATTTCATTTCCATTAACATAAAATGGACTCAGAGCTGTTGTAACCCTGGGGGAAGTCAGTATAAGTGATGTAAAAGTGATGGCTTGATGCTATAGTGGCAGTATGGAGCTTCTGACTTGTGCTTTGTTGCTGGTCTGCTCATGGAAAGTGAACTTGGTGAACTGCCTCATCTAGGCTTACCTGTTTCATTAGGTTTTTATAATTTACAGTAATCTGGCATAGGGAGCTGCTGATTGTTACCAGGATTGGGCAAAGGGCATGAGCCACAAACCGTGGTTACATGTATGTGTTGATGAAACAATTTTAAGGTCTCTAATGGTACAGAAAGGGAAAGTAAAACAATATGTGATTATTTGTGACATGTCAGTATGAGATGACCTTTCATCCAGCCACTACCATAGTGGGAATAAGCAGGTACCATCTGTTTGTTATATATTTTGTATTTACTCAGCTTTATGTATACCTCAGCCATAGGGGTAAAAGTAATAGTAGAGCCAGCAGTCTTCCTACTGGTGAAGGATGTAGGAGTGTGGGATAAGCTTCAGTAACTACATCCTGGAACATGAAGGAAGCAGGAAACAAATAGTGATTCTAGTACCGTATAGTTATGTGTATAAATAAGAGATCATTAAAATTTCAAATATGCCTGAATTGCTGTCTTATTTATGACTCAAGGAAATAAAAATCAAGTCTCTTTATGTTGTCCCTAGGTGCTACGCAGTTGATTCCCTAAGCAACACTGGTACTATGTGTTGACCTGGCATCAAAATGAAAGAACAGAAACATTATTTTTCTTCTGGAAAACTTCTTCAGGAATATTTGGAGTTTGTTTAGTAAACAGGACACTGAATTGTTTGAATATGCACACTTAGTGATAGAGAAAGATAAAACTATTTATTCGTCTTCATCCCAGTGTTTTTCAGACTTCTGATATTTTTTTCATTCTATTATGCTAGAACCCCTCACTTGCCAAACTGAGTGAAAAGATAAAAAGGTGGTGGATAGCATACACTTGCCTTTCTGAAGAGAAAGCCTTGAATTTGAAAAGCTTATGGTTTAAATTCCTGATGGAACTCTCAGATGCATAAATACGAACTGCTTTATGATTTAATATGTTACAATGTGTTACAAATTCATAATTTTCTTTCAAGAGCAAAATATTTCCAGAGTAAACTGTGGGAGCATATGGTTTGTAATCATTATAAATACAAGTACATAGTCTTTAGCTAAGAGTTTCTTTTTCTTTTCTTCTCTTTCTCTTTGAAGTCTATTGATCCTGGTCAGCAGTTCACATGGGAACACTCTAACCTGGAAGTAAACAAACCAAAGAACAGATACGCGAATGTAATTGCATATGACCATTCTCGTGTTCTACTCTCAGCAATAGAAGGTAAGGAGACCTTTAAACTTAAACTCATTAAATCATAAATCCAGTGTAATTTTGCCTCCTGATATCTTTGCATAGTAATATAAAGAAGTGTTAATTAAAGTACTTCCAGTAAATTCCTATGATGACAATACTTTTCTGATGTTCATTCTCAGTAATTCATTACCAAAATGCACTAACATTGACACAATCATATATAGCACTGAATTCATCAGGTCCCTGTGTGTTATCTGAAGTAAATTATCATTGCTGTTTACTTACAATAATTCTATAAAGCAAATACAGCAATAACCATGCATGAATTGAGGTTTTTGTGGATCAATAACATATCTGATTATTGAGTTTCAGATGCCAAATCCTTAATGTGGGGAAAAAAATCAGTTTAACTTCATGTTCTCAGGGAGAATTTTGACAACCCTCTTTTAAAACTTCCCTTTTTTCCAAGGGGTATACTTGGAGCTCTTCATTATACCTTTCTTTGTCAAAAAGCTTTCCAAAAACTTTAGCATTTTAGAGTTTTAGCTTAAGCAGACTGTCCAAGGTGATCAACTCTGGGTTGACCATTAACCTGCTTCGTGTGATGAAGACAGATTTTTCAGTTTATTCTATATTATTGACAGTCAGTTATTAATGCTGGCCAGAATATAGTTGATTATATGTTTAAGTGAAGCAATTTAAATGAAAATAAAATTAACCTTTAGTAACTCTGACAGGGCTTGCATATGATACATAAGATGCAGGGAAGTGTACTCAAGATCATAATAATTTCAGTCCTGACATGCTGTAAGTTAAACTGCAAGATGCTTTAATTTAGTTATAAACAGCTTCTTACCGTTGACTACTCCAGCCCTGAAGACCCTGGATACAGGAGGGACCATATTTATAGTTGTAATACGTTTTAATATTAGCTGCTTGGTGAAGAAAAAGGCAATCCCACTGATTGAAGCTTTCTGTATTTATTGCAGCTGCATACTGTGGGCTTTGATAACACTGATAAGAGCTTCTCAAATATATTAGAAAATTTAAATAATCGCCTTGAAGAATTTGTGTATGATAATCTGCTTGTGTTTGTTCCACCTCTGAGGCTCATATAGCAGATCTGACAAGATTTTTTTTGCAGTTTCATCTACAATATTTCACATTGCCTTGTAGAAGAATATAGGTATATAGAAACCTGCCGCTACCTGTTAGAACTACGTGTCTTAGCACTGAAGAGAGGGCATTTTAATTAGCACTATATGTGATGTAGTTCAAGAAAAATATCCCTTTCTGTGTCACTGGTCCAGACAAAGGAACTAAAAACATGGTCAGGAAAGGCCTGGAACAGCAGTTCGACAGCTATTCTGAATTGTTATGCAAAGTTCTTTGCAACAAAATGTTTAACTCAGAAATAGGTCTGTTTGACAGAAGACTTAGTATTTTCATAGGATTTTGTTTGGAAAAAGAATTGTGTAATGGGGGGAAGAAGGAGAAGGAAAAAATCTAATTAATAAATGTATTTGTTCATTTATAAATCAGACATCTGCCAGGTTCCCCTTCATGTAAATGACCCATGAAATTTGTTTCCCTTAAAGAAAATTAATATATTCAGAGAATGGGAAGAAAATTTAACAGGCAAAACAGCAAATGTTGGTCAAAGTATTTAAAAGTATCAAATTCACAGTACATTAGACTACTTTTTAAATTAATAGATAGTAAAAATATTTTTAGAATCTACATTGTACCTGTAGGAAAGGACTGAGGAGCAGGGACAACATACAGTTAAACTGTAGTGTTTGATTCCCTTTTTTACTTAATAAATTCCATGATAAGGCTAAAATCTCTAACCCTATAATAGTCAGTGACCCTAAACAGATTAAAATATTATAGCCATTTGAAATATCAGTGTTAGGTGTAAAACCACAAATGGGATTTTGACCCATTTGGTGATTGGCATATTTTAAGTATTTTCTCAGTCTTCAGTCTATGGTGAAAAAAAATGTCATAAATCAAATATTAAGTGCCTTTTTATGCTATGATAATTTGTCTTGAAAACAGAATTAAATTAGTTTTTAATTATCCTTTTAAATTTTTTTCCTCCTGGGATTTTACATGGTTACATTTCTGAAATTCTGCATGTGTATCTTCATAACTTTAATACATTGGTCTTAGTATTTGGTAATATGTGCTTCTCTTTCAAGTTTTAACTAAATATTCCTACAATGAAAATATGCAGTCTGCCTAGCATTTTAATCAGTTGACAGCTGCATTTGTTTTTATGCTATCAGGGAAATCAGTACTTTGACTATTGTTTAGAAAACAAAATTCTCCTTTACCTATGTTACTATACAAATTGATCAGGACCTAAAGCTGGACTACATTACATTTTGTTACAGCTGTGTAATATATAGGAACAGGAAACTAAGCATCTGCCAAACTGTAATTTTACAGTGATGGTCACTTTGCCTCTTGATGGTGTGGCACAAAAGTGAAATGCTGTAATTGCTTTTCTAGAACAGGGCGCAGTGCCAGTTTTGTTCAGTTACTCGTCTCTGACTGTAGCTAATATGGAGCAATTCCTAGAAAGTCTTAAGCAGCATGTAGGAGAGATTTGAAATTACTTCTTTTCACCCATTCATAATATCAAGTCATTAAAAATTGCGTTAGCCCCAAAACACAAAGCTTACAAAGTGTTTATTATGGTACATTTTGTGACTCTTGTTACACATGTTCAAACCTGGTTTTGAATCCCCACTATCTTCTTGGCCTCTGTAATTTTGTATAGGCTGGAGTTCCCCAACATAATTGCTCACTTTGCAAGAAATATTTCTTATATTATTAAAATACCACTATTTAAATTTTATTACATTAGATGTCCCTTTAGAAAGAAAATTCAGATTAGTTATGGTAATTTGAATTTCCACCTGAAAGAAAACATTACTTTGCAAAATTTTGTTCTCGTGTTCTTGAAATCTCATCACTTACATTGTGCTGTCTTTGGGTGCGTCTGAGAGGGACACTCAGAACTTTACAGTATAATGAAAGAATTTTATAAAGTAGTGAAGTTTATTTTATGCATCTAAATGGACTTGAGGGCAGAATTTACTGATTAAGAGAGAAATAGATCAAATTAAAACAGGTAGGTGTGTGATCTTAGACCTCTAAGGAGTAAATAAAAGCCTGGGGAAAAAAAATTAAACAGTCTGTATTTGAAAAAAGTCTTGCCAGTTCTTTTAGGAGACATTCAAGACTAAAAGTCTGCCATATGTGTCATGGATTTGCATAATGCTAGTGATTTAAAAAAAAAAAAAAGTCTATCATATTTCAGCAGTGAAATTTTTGTTTGATGGTAAATTTAGTTTTTTTAAAATGCTGCTAAAGCTAGAAGTCTCTGAATAATATAAAAGATCAAGAAATAAAAAAGGCAAGAAACTGCTAATACTCATTTGCCTGATTACCAGTTACTGGTAAATTATCATTGAGTATGTAGGCCATCATCTTTAGATTTAGAAAGTATTCTGGCCAATGTAAATTCTTGAACTTCCACTGAACAGTCACCGACGATACAAATTATTTGCACTCTCTCACATTGCATTTGTGTTGCACTCTGCTAACAATATATAATTACACATTTAGATAAGTGTATGCCCTTTCAACTGCAAGCCTGAAGCGCCATAAGACAACAAAATTGTTTCGGTGAAGAGGTAAAGGGGTACAGTAAGATCAACAAAGTAGACTTCGTGGTGTAGCAGTCTCTATGAAGTAGACTTCTAGAGTAGACTTCATGGTGGTTGTCTCAACAACAATGCTGAGACAAGTTGTAGGAGTATAATAAGTTTGACCTATAGGTCTACTTACGCTGTTACAGTTGTAACTTAACAAGAAAAATGATGTCATCCTTGATAGCCTTGAAATCAGCTCAGAACTGTCCATTGGGGAAAGCTTCAGCAAAACATCCAGTGACTTTGTTCTTGAGTGGGTAATGAAGATTTGGCACCTCACAATTTACTGTGCACACTCTTGTTGAAACTGTTTTTTGCAGGAATTCTCAAACGAGGAATAATTTAATTTCATATTAGTAGAGGCACTCATCGGCCCTTTTAGTGCATCATTCAGAGATATGAATGAATATTTCTATCCAAAAAAAAAGAGACTCCTTTGATAGATAACTTTGGTGTTACTCAGTCTTAAAGAGTTGAAGAATCACTACATCAAGTTTCAGACAGCTGTAATCACAGTATGATGGCTTCATGTAGGATTTGCATATCTGGTTTGCACTATCGTGCAACATGCTACTGTCTCAATATGTTGTGGCCAGTGTGCTGGCACAATGGTGTTATCTGTGTCTCTGAGGAACTGACTGAACAATCTGTTTGCTTTCATTCTATACCCTTTCTTGGTACTATCCAACTTTTAAAACAAAACAAAACAAATCCAAGCTTCTTTTCTTTTTCTTGATAGAGCTTCTTCTTTTTCCCAGCCTGTTTTTCTGCTACTCACCTTCCAAGTTTCTCATCTTGCCTGCAGGTATTTTACAGCTGCTAGTTCTTAGTTACCATCCCTGTTTTTCACCATTTTCCAGTTTTTCTTGCCTTTTTATTTTCCTTTCAAATATTTGCCTTCCATCTTCTGCACATTCCCTTTCTTTGTCCTGCTTAATTCTGCATCACCCCTAATTCTGCATCCTGCTTAATTCTGCCCACCCCTTTTTGACATTGCCTTCTCTCCATAATTCTCTATAATTCAACATTTCACTTTGAGACTACATATCTTTCATCCATTCCCTCTTCACCAGACTATTCTAGCCCTAATAGTCCATCCACAATGCAGCAATCTGTAGGTTTCTTTTTCTGTCATTTTTTTTTCCTTCTTACCTTATATCGTTAGGATTATATTAGTAAATTTTCCTCAGTCTTTGTAAAAAAAGCTTTCATTTTACCAATGTTCATTACTACGATAACCTTCATTGGTCTTATGCTGCTACATTTTCCAGTGAGTTCTTACACTAGTGTTTAGACCATTTGAATTTGATAATCTCCTTAACTATATAGATTTTATGTTAGAAAAACTTCCCCATAAAACATTGTTACTGGCACCTAGTAGCTGCCTTAGTTCATTTTTGCTCTGACGTAGTTCAAAATGTCAGTCATTGATTTAAACCAATAGTTCAGCTTCATCAGCATTTTCAGTTCATCATTGCATTTTTCCAACTTGTTTACAAGCATGACAGAATTTGATCCTGTTACTCCACACTCTTTTTATGACTAACAGCACATCTCTTAGGGAAGCAGCAGAGAATCGAAATGTTTATGATTTAATTTGTTTTAAATAGAAAGGCTGATCAGTACTTAGGCTTTGTAAAGGCTTGAAGTAATTTCAGTGTTTGACTTCATTTTCTGAATAAAACGTGAAGTCTAATGAAAGCTTTTTAAGATTATAACTGTCTTCAGGAAATGAAGTGAATAATTCTGAGGTCTACGGTATTAGCCTCATGGATCTGAGTCCATGTTGCAGCAAGCTGTACTGTCATCTCAGTTCATGAGTACAGTCTCAGCATAAATCAGGAGCTATGGAGTTCATTTATTAAATGTTTTGCACCTTAACTGTGGCAGTGGCTGATTTTGTTTCAGTGCTAGTTCACTCTTAATCTATAAAATCTTGTTCTCCTGAGATGTTTGAAAATGGATAATAAATTGTCTGTTATGCTCAACTACTCATCTGATTCTTCCCTCATTGTGCTCAATTCCTGTCTGGCAGAATAAGGAGGTTGCAGATTCTGGTCTTTCATCACCGTAGTTGAAAAGGCTACTAGAAAATAGTTATGGTAGAATTACGATCTGGAAGCTTAGTCTTTAGATGAGTTTTTGTGCAGAAACTGTGTCTCTGACTTCATGAAACTTGTAAAAGTCAGGTTAGATTGCGTGGATTACCCTAAATTAACATTTCAGGTATGCCATCCTAAATCTGCGGTAAACTACACTGATGCCAGTAGACTTAGATAAGATTCATTTCAATAATACTGAAGGCTGAATTTGGTTGTTTTGTCCACTTATTGACCCAGGTTTTTACAGAGCAACTGACCTCTCTTAACTATTAAACCCAAATCTAAGTAATGATGGCAATTGCTGCTGTGCTTGTGAGTGTGTTGCCTTCAAGCTATGACAGCTAACAAAAGTTTGCAGGATTTTGTTGTACTGCAGTCAACCTAGTTGTCATTTGATTGGTTTTGCACTATTAGACTTGATGGAGAATTGTTCAGCTTTCTCAGCTCAGAAAAGTCATTACAGAAAGTGACATTTTAGTATTTAGATTTATTTGTAGATCTTTACAATCTGATAATTGTTTCTGCTTGGTCAGTGTAGATATCTACTGATGTTCAGGTTTTGTGTATGTTATTTTTAAACTGCACACGCTTCATTAGGCCTCTTATGATAAAGCACCTTCCCTAGAGGGCTTTAAGTTTGTGCATTGTGGGGACATAGCTGACGAATCAAAAACTGGTGTGGCAAAGTGTGAGATAGAAACTGAGAGTGGGAAAACGGTATTACAGACTACAAAAGGATTTTGGAACAGGATGTAAAACTGAGGTCATCCATGAAAACAATAGTGAAAAGAGACTCAGTGTGACAAACGGGTATGGCGCTTGAAGACACTATAAGAATGGGTGGAGAACAAAGAAAACACTTAATGGATACTGTGGGTGAGAAAGACAATGGAGCTGAGCGTTGTGTATCCTACTGTTCTCTTGATCTGAGTAGAGGTATAACCCTGTAGAGTACTGTATTCCACTAGAGATAAACCCTTGATGAAAATCTTCTCACAGTGCAAAGTGTTGGAGCAGCACCTAATTTTTCCTGAAAGTGCATTAGTTAAGTCACTACCTGTTGCTCGGGTCCTGTGGTAAATGGAGTTTCCTGTCCATGTCCCAGCCACGTTCCTTTCATGTGGCATGAAGCTGACTTGCCTTGTAAAAGGCTTTTTCTGGCTAAAGAGCATATAGGATTTTCTGTGTCCTCTTGATAAAAGGCAAGTGGAGAAATAGAGTGGAAATTTCCACTTTAACCTAGCTGGGAAGAAATCATCTTTGCAAATACCAGTAATTGTTAATCTTAATTCTTTCTTACTTGCAGCTGTGATCAAGGAACATATAATCTGGAAACTGTTCTTCATTCTAATTTAAAGAATTAGAATTTATTTAATTTAGAAGTTTTTTGTTTTAATACGATATATCAAATTTAATACAAGTTAGTAAGTAGAAAAAGTATTTACAGTTTTAGACATTCTGGGTTTTTTTACATCAGGTACTACAGGTACTAAGATTGACTGCTAAGATTTGTAAAGATTATTCTTTAGTACACAGTTCACAATAGTTCTCATGCTTAATTTTCACGCTGATTTTGTGCAGTATCAGCTCCAGAGGACAGCTTTCCCAGAAGATCATTTAACCACTTTACAAAGTGTTGTTTTTCTTTTTCATTTTTTCCTCAGGCTTGTATTTATAACATATGCTTCGAAGTATGATACCAGGCATCATAATATAATTCTAATTTATGCAGAAAACATTTCTTACCAGCTTTCTCAGTTCCTTTGGTAATAATACCCAGTTGGTGTAGAGTTCTCCTGTTGGCTTCATTTTTCTTTCTCATCTGTTTTGTGCAAAAATGTTTTATTATCTTGATAAAGGAAGAAAATACGGCATTGTGCCTAGCAGTTGTATTTTCTAAGTCATTAATTCCAGTATCGGCAATAAGAAGTGTCATGTAAAAAAGTTTCAAGTCTACAAGAGTGAGGCTTTGGAACTCAAATTTCTGCCTTTCATGGAAGGAAATCATGCTTTTCAGCTATATACTATGAAGGTTTTAAAGGTTTTTAAATTTTGTTTTATTTTTCTCCCAGAAGAGACTTTCAGTCAGGTCTAATCATAGTCAACCAGTCTTCCTGTGTCCATCTATACATCTTGCCTGAAGGATTCCCATTTGCTGCCTCTCTTGCACCCCTGAAGTTACAAACTCTTTTCTAGCCTGAAATTTTTTGTCAGATTTTTCCTTTAATTGTACATAAAGTCAAATCAAATTAAAATTTCTGTTTAAATATAATTTGAACATATAAAACAAGAAAATCTATTAAGCTTTCTTGGGCATAAAGGCAAAATTTTATGCTAGACTGCAGCTGCAGTAACCTGTAATCTGAATCATTTTGAGATTATATTGGGTCTTAATTATTGTTACAGTTAATCGGTGGGTTTGTTCATTACTAAACAAGTAGTGGAACAAAACACTAAGCTTATGCAGAATGAGTGAAGTACTCTTTCAATTGTAGCTAAAAACAAACAAACAAAAGTGTTAAAGAGATATCACTGTTTTCTATTCAAATTCAAATAATTTTAGAAGACATTTTCAGATATATGCCACTAGTTGTCAGGAAGGACAGGTGTATGCAGCCCTGGTAATTCCTGGTTTGAAATCACCAGCAGGAGATAATACATCAGAATAGATTTGGAGGTTCCGTTTCTGACAGAAAGCTTGAGAAACATTTCTTTAAACATATTCAATAATTTATTGTGTTTCATAGCCAAAGAAATTCAACTCTGTTGCTTTTTGAAGTGAAAATAGTCACAGCTTTAGAATAAGCCAGGGACCTTGTATCACCTTGACTCTCTTTTCAGATGGTTTTGTGGAACCTGACCCATATCCTGGGGTTGTAGACTTGGGCATGGCAGATCTGTAAACATAAATCATTGATTTCTGCTCAAAGAAGTAACTTCTATTAATAACTTTAACAAACCTTTTGTATCATTTTGTTGTGATGCACAGTTCTGTATTTCAGCTAACTCTTCTGGGGACCACATGTACAACATTGCAGTAATGTGGGAAATAAAGCTTTGCCATCTCCACTCACATACATAAGTATCTTTTTTTCCTCAAGTCATCAGTTAAAAAAACAGCAATGACACCAAAACTCATACCTGCCATGTCTTCCAACATGCATGTAGTCTGAGTTAAAAGCTGGATACTGCACTGATAAATCCAGGAGGGATGGGACTGAGACCCGTATGTCCATATTTAACCCTTTCGGTAAGCATGGCTATCTTATTAGTCCAGACTAGTAACACGATCTCCTCTACATACGATACTCCTTCTCGACCTTGGCAGGCAACATATAATGGTCCAGCTCTCAATACAGACATGGCACTGCATATCCTCAGTTAAATAGATTCAAGTTAGGAGCTGGCTTGCTTTCATGTAGCTCAAGGCATGGACATGTGTCTGGTAGACACACTCAAAGTCCCTCTAAAAGTCTTGTCCAAAATACCTGAGCCTCAAGCAATTGAGAGTGTAGGTCTGATGTGCTCACAGGTCTTGGACTTCACCTTCTTTTCATGCATTTAATTTTTATGCAGACTTGCAGAGGTCTTTATTTCATGCACACACCGTATAGCAGATTCCACTGTTTCTTAAACCTGACTTACATAATATATTTTGTTAAAATAAAGCTCATAGTTAGCTTCTCATTTAATGGGAAAAATGAATGTAGCAGTAATATTATTAGTCTGACAATATTAACCGTTTTTCTTTGTTTTAACCAAATGCAGTGAGCTCAATGAGAGTGTTAAATGGTGCCTACTCAGGGCATCTGATGGAGAGGTTTCCCTGTCTGGCCTAGGCAATGGCTGCCATACTGGTAGGTGACGGCAGGCAGTGTCAGACCAGTTTTTGAATGCTGCTGTTTCCACTCTCAGGTCTCTCCATCTGCTATAGATTTACAGGCTTCTTTTATGCTTTCTTACCAGAGTGAGTCCTTTATTTCAAAAGAAAGTTTATTCCCAGAGAGTCCATCATACCCCTCAGCTCCACAAATGGCATACATTCAATTGGAAGTACCCACGTACTACTTGGCATACAGCAAGCTAAGATTCTCCAATCCAGCTGTGTCACAGGATTTTTTAGCCCTTGTACAATAGGACTGCACAGAAATGCTGCCCCATGTTTTCACTCTTCTCTCTTTGCAGGCATACCAGGCAGCGACTATATCAATGCCAACTATATAGATGGATACAGAAAGCAGAATGCTTATATAGCAACTCAAGGGGCATTGCCAGAAACCTTTGGTGACTTCTGGAGAATGATGTGGGAGCAACGGGGTGCAACTGTCGTCATGATGACAAAACTAGAGGAGAGGTCCAGGGTAAGGAAGCATATACATTGTTAATAATGTTATACCTGAGCAATCACTTACATAAGATTTTTGTTTCTTTCATGTATGTTCGTCTGCCTCATGTATATGCACAAGAACTGATTTTTTTAGGTTGCCACAAGTTAAAAATGTCCATACTATGAAAATCACATATATGAGAAATGTTGGTACAATTCTGTGACTGTGAAATTACCGAGACACGCCACGTATTTCGTAGGTTTTTTTATACTCTGGAAATCTTGAAACCTCTTCATCAGAGTGATTTTTTTTTTTTTTTTTTACTGTTTCAGTCATACTGGAAATATTAGGAGGTGATTGAAAATGTTGCCTCCTCTGTAGTATCAAGAATACAATTGTATCATCCTGTTATGAGGAAGTCAATGTATGTCAACAGCATGCAATTTTCAGTTCTTTATTCTATAGATTAAATATTACTTAAGATCAGTGAGGATTTGGATTTGCTTAAGGAATGTAAGAATTTTTTTAGGACGTGTTAGGTGCTAGGAAAACTCCACGACAGCATATGCAGTCAATTTAGTTTTACAGGGCAAACTAAAATGAGGAAAGTAAAGGACTAAAACATAAGGATACTATTCTAATTATAGAAGTGTTACAATAAAAGATGTGCTATATGTGAAGGGAAATAAAAAATAGTAATACTTCTTTGTTAGATAATAAGAAAAGAGATGGAAAGAGTAGCAACAGACTACTGTGTGTGGCATGATTTATTAGCAGGTCCATACTTGGTGTTGTTCATCAATTCTAATGGTGGAGGGGGAAGTGAAAGGAAAAAAAATAAAAGAAGAAGAGAAAGATGGTGAGAAAAAGAAAAGGGAAAAACACTTCTCAGTGGCCAATCAGAAAGAGAAGTGAGCGTCCACCCCTCAGCACCCTCTCCAGTAAAGCAAGTGGTTCCCCCATCATATTCTTCCTACAGTAACTCCATATTTTATGTCAAGATGTACTCAAAACTCATCGTGGGTGTTCTGCTTATGATACTGTTGCTGTTGTAGGGAGCACACACTGACTGGGGAATGTGCTACATGGCTGGTTCATTGCTGAGCTTTCTGCAAATGCATTAATGAGTGCTGTAGCATACACCAGAAGGTAGAACCAAACATAGAAATCAAGAAAGGGGAGAAAGAATGGGTGATTCTAACATCAGTGGCAATCATTTGCCTTGGAACCCGCCATAACGACAGTATCAGGGTATGCAAGTGTGAGTCCAGGAAATGAATAATAAACAAGAGTGTCATGGGAAAAATACTGCCGGAAGTGTTATGGGGTGCACTGCTCTGGGAGCTTTTGTGAAGGGGTAGGCAGCTGCAACTGGGAGGCCAGCTGCAGGACTGCAGGATGAAGGCCATTAGCAATACAAAAAGCTGATGTATGTAAGGCGTTGTGCAATGTGTTAAAATACGCCATAAATACAAAAGATCAAGAACAGTTCAGAAAGAAAGAAAGAGGCTAGAGAGGAGGAGAGGAGATTTATCATCCAGAAGAGCTTTTATTGTATCAGTAAGAAGTATCTTATGGAGGTAACTGGATAGTAGTTGATATTTCAGTGACTCATGGGTAATCTCCATTTCAAAATGAAAATGTTTTTCCATGTCTAAGCTTGGAACAGGGCGGGAATGCACCGTAAAGCCTAAAGTTATACTGTGTTGGCATGGATGTTTTTTCCACATGTGGGTTCGTGTAATTGCAATGATTACATAAACTGTTGAACCTCTTCGCAATAGTCATTCCTTTCTGGAGACTTACTGAAGTACATATGTATATATTTGTTATTTTACCATTTCATCAGTTTTTAAAAATAGAGTAGTTTTTTTGCAGATGAAGCAATGTGTAGCATTTTAAGTACAGAATTACTTTCTGCATGTAAATTCAACCTATATTATCACCACTGCCTGTACATACCTGATGGCAGTTAGTACATAGCAAAGGGTAATTTTATCAGAAATTTTAGTTTTATCTTGAGTCTACAGGCGTTGTCTAGTCTAGGCGCTGACAGTCACTTGGAATTAAGCAAATTAAAATTTGCCCATTTCTTCACTAATTACTTATTATGTAAGAAAGTTACTGCTAAATAGCACCAGTGCTAAGAAAAAATCTGATCCTAATAAGCAGCCCATTGCAGAAGGTGTATTTAAATACTTCAGAGTTTATCTTAATACTACAGGCCACAGACAGCCACTGTCCAGAAAGATGTTTTGATGTAACTAAATGAAAGTCTACTCATTCTCTCCAGTAATTGCTTAGCAGAGTTTTAAGCTAACTCTAGCCTTTGCTGACTGCACTCTAAAGAACCACTGATCAGAATAGTAATCACCTCCAGAAGTGATTAGCATTCAGCAGCAATACATTCCCTGAGTGTAATGAGGGACCAGGCAATTTAGTCAATGAATTGTCTGTGCATTCAGTGCTTATATTTGCGTATTTTTCTGTGCATATTTAGCTCATTCTGTGTTCATGGGTCAAGTGCGTTTGATGCACTCAATGCAGATTATTAGAGATCAGCTGTCCAGTATGTAATTCAGCTCCAATCTTAAGAGTCTGCAACTCTGTGAATATGGCATACCAGTTACCTCTTCTCCTAATACAGTCATTAAATGTAATGTAATTAATGGTATTGATGATGAGGCAGTAGTGGGGATCCCTGTGTGGGAAAAGAATACGATGCCAACATTTCATTGTTATTTTTTCTCATGCTGTCATTTTTATATAGCATATCCTTATAGCAGGAGACCAAATGAAATTCCAAACATGAAATACAAACACTTTTACATACCATTAGAGATTAAGATCTTTGCTAATTTTGTTTCTCTTTTTCCTTTGACTCCTTTTTGATTGCTTTTGTGTCTTGGCAGCCTGATCGTTATTCCTGCTGCAAGGCAAGATCATTTCTCTCTGGGACTTCATCTGTTTTCCATCTCCATGTCGTCATTTCTGTTTAGCTTGCTTTTTTCATTATGTAGTCCTGCCTCTTGATATCAGCCTTTTTAACCTGGACTGCATAGACAAAGATGGGTATTTTAATTGCATTTGCAGAAAAAAGTTGGTTCATTAGTATGTGTTAGATGTCTGAGTAACCAGCTTTGAGAATGTACGTATTTTACAGCTGAGTATATCAAATGAAGATGTTACAGTGAATTCATTGTGCATTTGTTTGCTTAAAAGGAAGCTGCAGGAAAAGAGAAGCTCTTTCACTTACAAGCTTTCACACTTTGTTGGTTTCATATGAAATGTCATCACCTGAATCTCACTTGACCTAAACCAGACTAGAGAGAGAAAGTTGGTCCCATCATTCAGCTACCATGCACACAATTTATATCAAAAAAGATTGTGCACACTGACAGCGCATGGAACAGTGTTGGTAGTGTATTTGTCACATACATGAGTTTAAGTAAAATAAAAGAATTATATTGAAGATTGCAAATTAGACATGTTACACTAAGGAAAGCGATGAAGCATTAATGCGTGATACCTCTTCTCTCCCAACCTATGTCTTCACCTCTGCCCCTCTACCTCTCTGAGTTAGTTGAATGTTCTGAGGACTTGTGCGCTGTGGTAAATGATGTGTATGATAGACAATCTCACTTTATAACAAAAGACAATATTGCCTCGACCAGGGAACATTTAGTCCTGCCTCCTGTTTCAGGGTAGGATGCTGTTGTGGATCGTCCACTTGAAAGATAATTCAATCCTGTCCTTCTTCGCTATGTAATTCCTTATTTTGAATACGCTTACTAAGTTGTTTTGGATCTGATAGAAAGTACTTACCTCCCTCCTTAACCTCATTGGCAATGTTTTCTATGTTGGAGACCATAGTGCCTAGGATTAGAATCTTCTGTCAAAAAACACCAATCAGGTCAAAGCTAAATGACAATATAATGATCCTAGCAATTATTCAAATATGAGCCAGATTCTGAACTTCTGTGCTGATGAGGAAGGCTTTAGTTTTCATACTGATATTATTAGATTTATTAAGATTTGCTAATGACTAAGTGGATACATGAGGAAACTACATTTGTTGCATTCTGTTAGCCTGATCCAGACACTCATTTGACTGCCAGGAGGTGGATATCATCATCAATATTACAAGCCAAGAATATATGAAAATATAAGCATGGAATAATCATCTTGGTTTGTCAAAGTCTACCATCTTCAATCCTGAGTTTTCACTGGGAAGAGAGAGGCAGAAACAAACCCAGTAGAAAAGCCATGTATCCTGTCTCAGATTTTGTTCCCCAATATTGAAATAGGTGGGACTATTTGCATGGATCCTGTACCAGTTCCATAAGAACTTCTAAGGATAATTAAAAGTCCCTGGACTTAACTTCTCTCAACTGGTCACTGGTACCATAGAGAGTCAGGAGAACAGGCACTGTCCCAAGAAAAGCCAAGAAGACGTTTCCTGAGGTTTCTGCAATGCTAAATAGGTACTTCCATTGTTCCAAGTCTGAATCTTTCCAAATCAGAACACTCCAGCTGAGTCTTTCGACTCATTTTTTATAGGTTATGTAGACTGTCCCATGTGTTAGAAAAATGGAGATTGGGTGACAGTAGAAATATCAATTAGATGAAGATGTGGGTCTTGAAGGTGGAAATCTGAGTAAAATCATTTGGGGGGTTTTCTTTGGTTTGGTGGGGTTTTTTTTGAAGGAGTGACACATATTAAATCACGGAAGCTTTTTTCAGATTGAAGTAGTTCAAAAACCAAAAACATTTGAATAAGCACAGTGGAAAGTGTAGTTGTACCTTTGGACTCTTTACTAAGAATAGCTTTGATACAAACTTCTGGCCACCATAGTTTTCTAAGTTTTGCTATAGGCATGGAAAACATAAAGGCAGGTCTGGGAAAAACCCTAAATTCTTCTATCCAAATGCACAAGTTGCTAACATTTGGAATGAATCTTCGTTTATTGGTAGCAGAATAGGCACTGATGTCTAATGTAGCTGACCTCATAGCTGAGACAAAGCAGTAGTAC